GCTGCAAGTAATCTGATAACAAGCTACTGAAAGGACAGTTTTTTCTGGGTCACTTGAGGCTTCACGTGCACCTTTTATGAGCTATCGAATGGTCACAAAAATATAATTTTGCAACACTTACAAAAAAGGCACTCATAGGTGCTAAACTCTTCCTACGTTTTATTCTTAATGTGCGGATCTCATGCTTGAGGATCTCATCTTATTCACGGACGTCACAGATCAATGCTCGACTACGTTTTCTTTCAGTTTCGAGGCAACCAAGCTAGGGCGTTTGTTATTGATTGATGAAGAGTTTTGGGTATAGGAGATCTACTCCGTCGAGCTGCGCTAAGCATCACCAGCATATATATGTATATATATATATATATTTATGTATTCATTTATTTATTTATTTATTTATTTATCTATTTATTATATATATAGATATATATATATATATATATAAGGATAAAGCTCTCGGCGTTGGTCAATCCTGAGGGATGCGCCATGCATTCGCTCCAATTTTTTGAATTTCGTTTGAAGTGATCGAATGCATATTGGCCTTTACATGGCGCGCGGTGGCCTTCCGTTATATCGAGGCGGTGGCGCTTATTTTTCCAAACATCTGAGGCCAGTCTGCTACCAACTTACCGACTTCGGAAGGATGGAAGGCTTCTTGAGCTATGAGAACGAGATCGGACCATTGACCTTCTGTGCGCTCCAGAACACCTCTAAACACTGTGCCACATGCGCTTATAATGTATATATATATATATATATATATATATATATATATGTATATATATATAGAAGTGTCCAAGATGAGACTATATTCGAATTTTGTGTAATTTCAATACCTTCCATGCAAATATCATCCTTTAGGTGCAAATTTCAGTTCATGAATGGATTTTTTCTCATATCATGATCATAGTTCGAAGCGAGCTCTTGATACTTTAGATTTTCTTAGATCGTGTCTCGTAGTCAAATGTTTTGGGTATAGCCATAAAGTGTGCGCATCTGCTCATGCAAGAGTAATTATATATCAAAAGTTTATGAGTGTGTAGAGAAATTTGTGGAGCTTATACAGAAAAAGAGAAATGCAGAAATTTTCCCAAACTGCAGAAAAATACAGATTCAATAAACGGAAAGAACGATACACTTTTAGCGCTCTTGAAGGGAACAGGTGCGCTTGTAGGCAGCCATGCTGCGGTGAAATTCACTAGCACACTATCAAAATTGTATGATTGTCTGTTTTAAGTTAAATATAGTTGCATCTTAACACATGTCTTGTGATGTATAACTACACTGTTCACGAAATGCTGCACCATGTAATACCAAAAATCTCTTGTGTTTGTGGTGAGAAATTATTCAGCGCCTCGAAAAAAGTTTGACCTTTGTAGGTGTCAATCATTTTCCTAGTAATTTTTTTATGTGCAAACAAGTTTTTTCTTGGATTATGTGGTCAATCCGATAGTCTTCTTAATATCCTGTCATTTCATTACTTGTAACAAACTTCGTTAGCAAAGTATCTCGCCCGAAGTAAGAGCAACTCGTAAACAATGAATTGAGAAATTACTACGGAGAGATCTTTCCCCCAAATGGGGTTTTATCGTAGCATCACCACCTTAAACTATTGAACAGCTGCGAAGACTTCAGAAGAAAGTTTTTGTGCATAAAAAACAACGAGAAGTATATTGTCGTGAATGTGGTGTTAAACTTTTCCAATCCTTCGCTCCTCCCTTTCGTTGCTTTCCGTGTAATGTCTTTTCTGGAGAGAAGACAGACTTCAGTGAGTAATCAAATCTCCAGTGAAACTTGGCAGGTAACATTGTCCGTTTCTCTACTATCGTTGAAAGCGCTGTAAATTTATTTTCTTAATCTGTACAAGATAGGAAAACGTAACTTGACTATTTGCTTTCCTTTAAACAGGCGTTGTTTACGGCAGTGTTCACTGTCCTATTTCTCACTATGAATTCTGCCATATAAAGGTCTCGAAATTAATGACCATGAAGCTGCCATCAAATGAAAACCGACTATCAGTTCGAAGAAAGTGAGTGACACCTTAAAGACAGATAAGGCTTGCTGACTACACGATAGTGCACATTCCTGATGGGGTGTACCGAGACACTGCTTGCGATAAGAACCGATGCAAACCACTAAAATGCTTGGATAACATATTATGAACACTTGAAAGACAGCTGCTAATGGTATCGGAACAGAAGTTACAGTTGTCGACTACATTTCTCTGACAAGTCTGTGTCAGACATGTTTAAGATAGCGAGTGTCCTGGAAAAGAAAAGCACATGACGCTTTGATTAAAAAAAAACCGCTTCGTTCATCATCATTATTTTCAAGTTAACTGTTAACGAGAAGTACCTAAAGAGTATAGAAATTGAGTGTTAATATTTGAAGTAATGGCAAAAGCAGTTTTGTTTCGTTTTCTGGAAAAATCTCGCTGTGACAAGTTTACTCGTTTCAGTGATACTTATCTGGTGATACCACTCGCAATCTGATTAAGGTCAGTGTTGCACTGCGTTAGATAGTAGTTCTACAAAGCATTACAATCAGTAAGATTACAAGCTCAGCTGACAAGATAAGGAAGTTTTGGCGTGGCGCCCGACTGATTCAGAGACTTTGAAGCTGTTAAGAGGACATCGCACGAGATTGTACAAGAACACTGAAAATTAAATGCATGCGGCCATTCCTGAAATTCTACAGGCTACAGTGATTAGAGATTAGACTTTTTGGATTGACATCCCACAATTACTATAAGTCGCAAAACAATGCATTAAACATTACATTCCCAAAAACACGAAGCTGTGAAAATGAATTGGTTTTAAAGTGACGCCTTTCCAACTCCCATCATCTTGTGAGAAAAAGGAAATGATGTAATCGTGCTTTTTGAAGAAGTGATTTCTTTCCGAAGATCTAATGTACATTTAGTACGAATAACTGTGATTCATAATCGTAGAACTCACTACCTATGCAGAAATACTCCATGGAAACGTCATAGTCGACATAAAACAAACCTTCGAAGACAAGTCTAAGAGAGCTTGTGATCGCGCTCCACTGCAAAGAAGCTACCTCGAGATCTTAGAGGAGTTCCACGCTCCAGCAGAATTGAAGATGTCATTAAGAAGGGTACACATCAGATCTTTAAGTGGCCAGTCAAATTTGCCACGGTAATTCATCAACTTTAGCGGAGATTGTAGTACGACGGCATCAATCAAAAATGTATTCTGAACAGAGTATCAAAACTGGCTCCACAGGTATCTGCGTCGAAAAAGGGCAATTGCGTTGAGGTTACGTCGTACTATTTTTTTAAATAATTTAACTGAATAATGAGGTCGGGACTATCAGAATGGAACGATGATGATGGAAACTTCTATGGATCGTCGCACTTTGTGGAAACTGTGAATTTTTCGTTCTGCTCTTCATAAGAATGGATTGGGCTGATTACCCTGCGCTCAGCATGCGTAAGATTTAGGGTACAGAAATAGAGTGACAGATGCACGTTTGCCCTTCAATGTCCTAAACTGACACTAAATTCTCTGTATAGTCAGGGAATAGATCCACTTTGACTGAAACCAGATTAAACTATGAAAAATTTGGAGTAATAAAAAACGCAACTGCGGTAAAGGGCTCAGGAAGGGAGATTGGTGATCAAATCTGCGACTGACATTTGATCACATTCCTGTTGGAATTTTAGTAGATGACAACAATGATTTCTAACCATCACGCTTGGCCATAGCACTTTTTGACTGTCTCAAATATATTGAGACCGAATTCTTAAATAACTGATCAAAAAGTTATAAAGGAAGTTCTTCTTGAGTTTGTAAGCATTCGCAAATAAAAAATTTTGGGCAGGATACGTGTGCGGTCTCTCTACCGAACACGGAAGCAATTCATTCGTTCAGTTGAAGAGATCAATAATAAGACAAAATTGTTTTCTTGGAAATATAGGCTATAAATACCGGTCAACACTTTCGTTTTTCTTTCTATAACATCAATATCAAAATCCTCTGTGAAACGATTTAAATATTGAGGTACCGTACTAGACTACGAACATCTCATTGGAGATTGATGCTTCCTACGTTTTCCTCTAACTCCTCTCCATAGTAAACATCCTTGATTTTTCTACCAAATAAAAAAAGAAAGAATTGTTGATGAAGTATCTTTCTTTCTCTAGCCTGATCATCATAGTATTATTACTAAGACTGATCCTACTAGGAATGCACATGTAACAAAGTTATAAGTTTTTACAACGAAGGCGCACATTTGTCTTCTATCAGCTAAAATTAGTAGCACGAATGCCTCGTTACTTAGAGACGACTGGTCATAGGTACAAAACTAGCGCCATTAGCAAAATTATCAATACCATTCTCTCCACATTGGCTTCTTTTTTTAACCATCATTTCCATGTATTTTAAAGTGCCATTTATTAAGTTGGTAGAAGAGAAAGAGGGAAAAGGAATACAATACGTCAACGCAAGGCATTTATTCTGAACGTAACAACTATTTGATACCTGTGAACACAAAAGACTATTACTGTCATAGTGAGAGCTCCCTCATCTCAGCGATTTGAAAGCCAGGCGACTAGTGCAAAAACTCGTAATCAAAGCAGTTTAGTTGGTGTTTCGCAAGCAACATATCAAAGAGATATATATTGGTGATTTCAGTAGAGCACGCATCCCCGGATAGGATGAAACGCGGGTTTAATTCCCGCCTGAGGCCATGCTTTTGATCACCACTCAGTTCTCTTAGGAATTTATGAAGCATCATAACACTGCGAAAAACGCAGTAAAAACGATAGAAATTCGGATTTCAGTAATTAATTAGACTGTCGTAAAGACCACAGCTAAAAGAGATTGGAAGGCTGAATCGGGTAGGTATGAATGTTTGTTTCTATTGAAGGATATTGTCAATGAGACTGACATATTCTAGATCACTAAAACAACGATATGCGCTCAAATTTTTACATTTTGAGTAACAGCAATAGAAAGAGTGTTGGTAAAACAAGAGCATCAGTTGTGCAGCTGGTTAGCACACGCTCCTGGAAAAGGTGAGATGCGGGTTCGATTTTCATCTGATGTTCAGAGTTTTGGCAAAACTTTACATTATTGGATAAGTAGCTTCAGCTCTGGTTTACATAGATGGGCTTTCCAATTATTATCCGATAAGGACAGGATCCATTGAAGCACGAAATTTCCACTGCACGCTCTGCATGTAACACGAAAACTTGACTACGTGCTTTCACCATTTTAGATGTAGGTTTTAGCAGAGTAAAAATACAAAACTATAACACTTCCAGAGATACATTCTCTCATTCTTTGGTTCTTGTAAGAACGTTAAACTGGAAGGGAACTTGCTCAAAATTTTATTCTTCTATTTGAAAGCCATTCACATAAGCTGCAGCATTAGCATGTTCGCTACCGTGTTGATATCCTAAAACCCTATGACCTCAATGCCTTAGACCATGTTCTGAAAAAAGTTGATGACAGAGTTTTTCTTGCCTATAGATGGATATCTGTGAGTCACCCAATAACAATTTGTCGGAGATGTTCCTAATTAAAGAAAAGCTTCATTTTCTGGTACATTTATTACGTGACAATAACAACGTATATTCTGAACTACAATGATGAACAATGATTTCGATAGATAATCTATGGCTAGATGATTATGTTCTTTTTTGTTGTTTCGCTTCATGATGTTTTGACTCTCATCAAACGATCCAAGTGATCTATATATCCAGTCAATTTATTCCAACAACAAATATCAAAAAAAAACGTGACTTAATTGTTACTCTAGAGATCAATCAATCGCTGTTCATACAAATTATATATATATAAGTTCAAAGAAAAAGTGATAATGTACAAGAACAACAACAACAACAATTATCGTTATTACAGTTTGGCGCTCTTAGGAAACGTATTTACAGAATGTACATTGTGAAAGTATAAACTGATCAAAAAGTAGAACGCATCATCTCCAAGAAAGTGGCCCACACAATGACGAGCGAGTTTCCATTTCTGAGGCGAGTGACCGTCGACGCTTCTCATCGATATGTTAATTCTGAGATATCGCACTATCGTTCCATCAGCAGATGCTTTCTCGGAAAGGCAAGACGATTAGATCACTTAAAACTTCGCGGTTTGACAGTAAGAGACAGTTTTCGCCGAGCGACACAGCGTTGTGCCTCAAGCTTCTCTTCGTAAAACACGGAAATATGGATCATACTGCAGGAGAAGATTAGATACTACTACTGCACGATATCGCACTGCCACTGCTTTCCCGTAAACATTTCCACCCTTTATAGAGACCGCACCTCCGAGCGAACGTTATCACCGATTTTACGCAACGATTCTTGGAGCTTATGTCGGCTACGCGAACGTAGGCCATGCTCGCATAAGCTATACTGAGTCTATTTCACCCCACTGCAAACTGAAGATGACGATGATGGTGATGCAAAATAATGACTTATTCGTGACGATTCCACTTTTTCTACAATTGTAAGATATTTCCTTAAAACCCGATTGAATAAGATTCTTAAGGCCTGACAGACTTATATTTGATACTTGAGGTTATCACTCCAAGGATGTGCATATTTCTTTCAAAACATCAGACTTTTTTTGAGTTTAATAGAATTTCCATTACTAAAAATTTAACTAAAATACAGTAGTCGCAAACAGAAGCGGTGCATTTGAAGATACCATTATGTTCTGCTGAATGAATTGCAGACTATACAGCTGCTTTCTCGGAATATCAAATCTTTAGAAAAAGGAGAGGAGTAAAAACACTCATTAGATTGAGGAGGTTCAACATCTTTTCTTGAACAAAGAAGAAAAATCGCAACATTTTGCCAAAAATGTGTGCATTCCGGACATGTCCAAGTCAACCGTTGAGTATCACTATGCACCCAAATATTTATTAAATGTTGCAAAGTCGGAAAAATGTTTATTTAGACTGTTAGGCTAATTTAAAGTACATTTCATAAACCTAATGCTCAATAAAACATCAATAACAATCAGTCGAACTGCTGAGTTATTCACCATACTTGACGATGAAACTCCTACGTTAGTTATGCGGTTTGAAAAATGATCCCCTTCTACTTCAATAAATCAACAATTTGTACCTCATAATAATTTCTTTTGATTTTGCAAAAGCGTGTTAGTAACTATAGAATTTTGTTTTACGGTAAGTGTCACACTTTTTTATCACAACGAGCCTGTGTTTTTCTGAATTCCTTGACGTATATTTTAGCACTTCGATGTTTTATGTTGATATTTCGAGCATGAAAGCTAAGTAATAGGCGTGTTTCCGTCGAAAAAGACACGATGATGTTCATTCTCACTTGCCGCTCTTCTTTCCGAAATTCCAAAAACTTAAATTTCTTGGCGTGTTCGGATTATGGACGACTTTGGCTGAATACGGTGCGGTCGACTTAGTTAATCTAAGCCATAAAGAAGACGAAATCCCTCGAAACGCCGAAACGTCAGCAGTTGCAAATGGATTATCTGACATCAAACACGTGTTTGCTCATGAGGATGAACGGCTAAATCTTGGGCTTACTTTTCTGAGATTTCAAATCTTCGACGCATCTTCATCAGGAAGAACACTAAAAAAATTTGTGTATCGAATGAAGCAAGAAATCAGAGTGGCTTTTAGTGCTTTTGAAATATTTCCTCATTGGATGATTAACCTCGATGGTCGAAAAATTAGCTCCGTCATGAAAGAGTCAATGATGCATTCAGAAATCACATCACGTCTAAGCAAATGTCTTCCCATATTATAGTTCTTTCGTCGTTTCGCGTCGAACTGGTGACCCTGAATGCTGTGGTTCAATCTGCTGTACTTAGCTCCTTGTGATTTCCGAAGTAAGCACAACTGAATACAAAGTTACGACTTGCTAGTATGAAGCTTCTTTTATACAAGCGAGAAAATATGTAATCTCAGGAATCAAACAACAAAAGAGAAGCGTCCCGGTTAAGTGCTTTACAAAAAGAGCTTAAAACGCTGTGCGATCAGAGCACAGAGCTACTCCTGACTATAACGATCATGGAGGTCAGGTCACTATGCCACTTTATCATCTGACTAAGACATCAATACCACGACATTTTCCTAGATATGTACAACAGCGAGCTTACACTAAATTAACGACACGTTCGGCAATTAAGGATGCATCAGCGTGACAACTAGTAGCAAAGCAGTGATGTATCCGATTAGGACGTATCAGGCCGCTGCGATTTTGTCGCACACCATATCAGGTACGATTCATGCTCACATCATCAGAGCTCATCATCAGAGCGAAATTGATGACGAGAGAGTAATAAGCGAGAAACACAGCAACAAAGTGTTAGTAACCCGGTTCATCACGTCATTGAAGAATCCCGATTGTGCTAAACGCAATGTTAGTGAGGATAAGTATGTCAAACATGCATTCAGTTGATCATCTTTTTATCTAGCTCATCATTTTTGATTTTCAAAATTGGACAACTCGTGATGATCATCGGAAAGAAGTTAAACTCAAGGTGCAGTAGTGTGATAAAATTAGTGAGAAAATTATTTGAAAGAAATGCTAGGGTGCAGCGCATGCTAAAGTTCGTGCACTATGACCAAACTGCAAGAAGTTGAAATTGTTTTTGTAACACCTTTAAGTGGATGACAATAAAAATTCCATAGGCCCAGGTACTGATCGACAACCTGTTCGCCGTTAGGATTTCTTCATGGTACGTTAACTTTTCGTCCTGTAAGAAGATTAGATTAATTCAAGCACGTGACTCTCCCTAAAAAGGAAAAGTGTGATTGCGACAGTAATGCAAGTTTGTAGAATCTAATGTCTGAAACTAGTTGAGGATGCGAGAAAAGTAAATGTACGTTTCATTAGTTTTTGTGGCTACCAACCGAAATATTTGTGACAGATTATTATTCAGAACGTACTTAAGTGGATTACCGCTTTTTCCTATGTGAATGAACATATGGAGAATGCCCGTTATTCACCGACATCCTACTTTTTTGAATTGAATTATAAAGGAAGAATGATTTATGGCAGACGAAAATTTCGTTGTTTGTTTGATTTTAAAAATTTTTTGAGAAGTGTTGAGAAATTCTAGTGCAGGAACATGAACAAAATTGAATGCTCGGCCCATGTGAGTCATGCACTCTGTTCCAAAATGTCGTTTCAGATAACACAAAAAACACTTCCTTTCACTAATTTTCAAATACCTTGGTCTACTTATTATCTTTCTACGAATCATTTCACTCTTCGAACTTTCAAGACTTTTTCATGGATTATCAGTAAGATTCTCAATGCTAGTGACTGATATGGCTGCTGCGTTTACTGATAAGAGAATAAACCTCGTGCTAGCTTATCAGTGAAGAAATACACTGCCTGTTACATCAGAATGATGTTCCGACATCATTAAGGAACACAAAATAAGATAGATCACTCATTTTCAAGCCAGTGAGTACTGCACATAAGTTTATCATAGGTATTCCACACTGGAGATCATACACTGTTAATCGTAGGACTACGTGCATTTATGCTTGAACATGGGTTTAGAGTGATTTTGCAACATCAACACCGACCCGTTGTATCCGTTATGCAGGTCTGAAATATCTTTCCTCATCTGAATAGTTATATTGGTTCTTTTCCGTTACCCGAAAACAAATAGATATTCGACCTCAATCGCTGGACAAGAACTTTTCACGAGAGTTTCAATAATTGTTCAAAAGCTCAAATCTCAGGATAGCTCGGTATGTGGTCGGTTTCTTAAAACACCCTTTCATAACGCTGTAAGTTTTATAATTAACTTACGTCTCACGTGACCCACGTTTTTTGAAATTTTATCTTGCTCATGTTACGTTGGACAAAACATTCTCCCTAAAGTGCTACTACTATTTTGACAGTACAAGTCTCGAAGAACTCAAAAATGCGCTTGCTTTCCAAGAAAGCTCTTTTGGGTTAAATGCCATAGGACAAAGAGAATGTTTGTGTTTTACAGCTCACCAGACAAAGCTATTCCAACGCTGTGTTTGTTCTCTATGAAGACAGTTTCACTACAGTGTAGCAGAGCAGATAAGATCGAGCTCCAAAT